ACAAAGAACAGCATTCGTAATGTTGGAACAAATAAATATAACATCGTGACTGGTTGTTTAGCTAGTACTGGTGCTAACATCTGTGTCATTTTCATTATTCTTTTTAAAGAAAATAACAATATTTTTATTGAACATCGTAATTCGTTCCCAGATAGACTGGATAAGATCAGTATGAAAAAATGCTTAACATATATGGCTTCACATATTGATAAATTAAACACAGAAAAAGCAACTATATCGTAAGTACTATTGTACATTTTATTCGAAACGAAGGAATTTCGATCCATCATACTCGAATATTTTAATAAAAGAGCTTAAAAGTAAATTTTATTTCTTTAAGTTACGATTGAAGCTTGCTGGAACAATTAAGAAATCAATAATTAGCTAATAATTGATTAATCATATTGAAACGAGTACATTTTGAAATAAAAATAAAGAATATTTTATCTTCAATAAATGAAGTTGAAAGAAGAAAACTAATCTTGATTATTTTTTCATTATATATTTTGATACTGTAGTTCTGTGTACATTTTTGGTGGTATAAAAACAACATCTAACAGAAATACTATACAGAGTACAATTGAACAGTTAATTAAGGGAAACGATGGTCATGATTCATCCACATATAGCAATTTAATTAACAATATTAAATAGATGAATGCAATGATTAATTTAGGAGCTGATTCACCAGGAATAACATTTGGACATATAAATCATATAATCAAGAGGAATAGATTTATCTAAAAAGAAGAATATATTTAATAAAACATATAAATAAATAAAATCTAATCCTAACCATTGATAGCGACTACTTGAATACCTTTTTCAAGTGCACATCGAAATATATGTTGACCAAGAAGATCAAATCCATTAATTCCAATTTTAATACTATTAATTAGATAATTAAAAAATTTCATTTATTTTCTAAGATAGAATATAAGAAATAACTAACTTAATAAATAAACCATTGTTTGGAACAGAGATGAACGAGCCAGCCAAAAAGCCACACCGCCACCGCCCCGTTGATAAAGTTTCGCACCGTCACCGTTCCGCCTATTCAACAATAAAACCGTCACCGCCCCGCCCCGTCAAGTTTCTGCACCGCCCCGCCGGCGGGGCGGGACGGGGCGGAGCGGGACGGTGTGAAGTCGCGGCTCGTCCATCTCTGGTTTGGAATTAATGATAAGACATCACTTAATCGTTCATTTTCATCAGGTTTTGCTTTCTGTTGAAATTTATGAATTTCTTGTACATTTTTTTTCCAATAATAGTATGTTGTTGTTGGTGGTGGTTGTGAGTGTAATTTCACTTTCATTGTTGCCAATGAAAAACTGCCTGACGTTGATACCCAATCAATTTTCATAGTTAACCGATTTGTTGTACAGCTATATTTCATTGATAAACTTGGATAATCAAGTCCATCATTTTTAAGAACACCTAAAATTCAATTTCATTTATGTTTATTTTAAATCAATATTTACTAAAAACTAACTTTGATCTTCTTCATAATCAGGCAATACTTTACTGACAGATTCAAAGATTATTGTTTTGTATATGAATTGTTGATAAAGATAGAATATATCAGGATCATTAAATAGTTCATTAGGTAACATATAATGTGTAGTTGGATTTAAAAAAAGAGAAAAAGAACTTTTTATTAAAATTGAGTTGTGTGCATCACCACCTGCAATAGTTAATCGGCAATCGTGAAGACCTGTTTTTCCATCTAAATCATGAGGTCTTATTGATTTTATATCAATATGATGTTTTAAATCAGTAGAAATGATAGGTTAAAAAGCCATGAAACATTCTAATTGTGACATATTTGAATCATTAATTTCTTTAAAATCATAATGTTTAAGATAGCAGATTTTTTTTCCTTGAAATACACAGTCTACCAAAAAGAAGACATATGGTCCACAGTCATCTGTAGTAATTAGTTTTTTGCTAATTCCGTCTTCACCTTGAGGAACATGTTCACGTTTGCTGATCTTTTCATAAGCAATTGGCATAATTGAAGCTTTTAATATAAAAAGTTAAAAACAAAATAATATACAGATTTATCTAAATGACAATAATCAATATTATATATAAATAATAAAATAAACAGAATTTTGTTTTCTATTTCACACAATAGAATACATATATATTTTTCATTCGTTTAGATAGACATGTCTTAATGGTCGACTAATATTACATAGAAAGAGAAACAAAATTGATTACATAGTTTGTCGTCTCGAATATTTTCTTTTCTATTATTGATTTCAGAAATTGAATTTGAATGTTTTTTTTTGTAACATATTGATCAATTTATATTCCATTTCATGTTTATGAAATTTTTAAACTTATTCATTTTTTAAATCTATCATTCGTTTTGTCATACAATATTTACTTTGTAACAATCTTGGTAATTATCTCATTGTAATTATAAAATAAATTTCATTTATTAAATCAAACAAGGACTTCAATAAGTGACAACAATAATCAATTTTTATCTCAATCATAATCATAATTTACATTAGAACTGTTTTTAATAAATAGAAAATACAAAAAAAGAAAAAGAAAAAGAACATATAACTTTTATTCTGATCATAATTATAATTGAATAAGAGTTATTTCATAGCAGTAAAAAGAAAAAAAAAGGAATAGATTAATTTTCATTTTATTAAAAATTTAATTCGAATTAGGATCATCTTGTATAAATAGAAAAAAGAATAGAAAAATGAATTTTTTTATTCATTAATTATTTTTCTATTTATATTAGAACTATCATAATATATAAATCGAACAAAAGGAAAAAAAAAATAATTTTATTTTGATTATTTTTTAAAATTTTTATTAGAGTAGCTATCGTATATAAATTTCCTTATATCGATGAAGTTTATCAAAAATCTTGACTATATTATTATATGAATTACTGCTAAAAATTAACGATCTGATACGTGGGTCACTCCAACAGTTTTTAGATTTGCAATACTGGTAGCTTAGTTTAAAATGATTTTATTATATTTGTTCAAAGTACTGTCCTTGTACACTAATGCACTTATTCATTCTTTCGAACCACTGTTCATACTTCTATCGATATGATTTTGATTTAATAGTTCTATAGAATATTTGATTGATCAATAATAGAAATTGAAAAGTGACGGTTTTCATTTTTAACTTGAATTCATTGCAAAAATTAATATAATCAGAATATAGGAGGAAAGAGATTTTTATTTAACCATTAACAGAAACTCTACACATAATTATATTTACATTTAAATAAGAATTATTTTTTACTTCATACGAAATTATTTGGAGAACATTAAAACAAATAAATTGAAAAAAAAATGTTGTCTAGTTTTTGAAAAAATATCTTTCGATTATAATTATTTTGGAAGAATTAGTTCTATTTAAAAAATAAATTTTAAATGTAAAAATAAAAAAGGTATTTTTATTGAAAACGAAACTATTTTTCAATATGATGGTTTTGTTTTAAATTAAAATGATCCTATCTTAACTTTGCTTTATTTAAATATATTCTTTTATTTAAAATTATTAGAATATTCATATTTAAAATAAAATAACATTATATTATCTTATAAACAAATTTAAATTATTCTTCAATTTTTTTTTTCAACATAAAACATCTAATAATTTTAAAAAATATAAATTAACATTCCTCGCTACAAGTAAATATTGTTCATTCTACGTACTCCTACTTTTTTTTTTGTTGGTTCCAATTTACTCTTACATGGTCAATATATGAAAATATAAAATATAATAAGAGATATGAAGAGAGGAATCTACAATGTATACTATCGTATCTCTGAGCTCATTATTAATTATACACGACTCTCTGATTGTTGTTCTACCTTGAAAAATCATCCTAGTATCTTGACGACGATCGATATAGTTTTAATATGAAAAGTCTATGTTATTAATTACCGTTATCATAATATAACGGATCAACTTTGATCCTCAATTGACAAAGTTTTGAGTAGAAGACAGAGAATAAAACGACTGTTATTCTACAAGATAGTTCATCGTCTCGATGCATCGAATATATTCCATTGATTATTTTTAACAAATCATCATATTGATATTGAAAACGTTTTCTAGTTGCATTCTACCTCTTCGAATATCCATTATTGATCAGTTTAAACAAATTGACAACGATATATTTGGTTCAACGAAAGTCAATTTTTTACAGTTTTCAGATTAGTCTGATTAGAACAGGTGATATACTCATTGAAAATGAAATAGTCATGACAAGTGCAGACAACGCTTCAGACTAGTACTAACTCTATGAAACATGTTTCAAATTAGTCAAAGTCTTTTCACATCGACTGCTTTCTGATTGTCTAGTGGATGGATGGATGGGAGTCAGTTTTGTATCGTTTGACTATATAAATTGACATCAGTGTATCTGATTGTCCTAGTCCTCCGTCAAGATGCCCATCCTCTTTTGAGTACTGTCGGGTTGGATGTTCGAATCTGTGTTTTATCTTCTTTTTTTAGTCTTCGGACTAGTTTCGACGGGTTCAAAAGACAAAATGGAGTAGACATGACTGGCTTCAAGGACTTTCTCGACTAGTCCAAACGCGTTTAAAGGACATTTCTCCAACAGGTAACTAGTCATGACGGATGCGCAAGACGTTAAAGACTAGACTTGACGAGCGTTGCAGACATTTTCGACTAGATGTGGACACTGTCTTTCGTCATTTTTTTTTGCTCACTTGGGATTATCGACGTCATCTTTCTTATGTCTCTAAGAAAGATGATTTCCTATTTATTGATCAATAACTGATAGTTTTATAAGAATGGATTTGTATATTAATCAATCGGCTGAGATATTCGAGTAACGGTTGAATAATGAACGGGCAACACTCTTGTTTTAACTCAAGACTATTTTCAAGTCCACTTTTCAAGCTTAGCAATTGAAATGTTAATATAAACGTTTGACGATAGATATTTTTATATGCCTAATAGTAGTATTTCAGTTTCAATCCTCTACACGAATAGAGTTGGAAACATTTATCTATACGATCGTTAGTTGACGGAATCGATCAATTTATTTAACACTACTTATCCATCTAAACAGGTTGAGAAAATGATCAATATTTGAAATTATTTTTCTATTCTAAAATAAAATCGAACTCTAAGATTGTTCTTATCAATCTCAAGAAAACATTTTTACATTCATATTTATATTAGTTTCATACGAATTCAACAAAATTCATTTATTAATATAGAATATTAGAAAAGAATTTATTAGGAACAAATTTACAAAAAAAAAAAAAAAGGTAAAAAAGAGAAGTTCATATCGACGTCGAACTGTTTGGGCTCAGTCTGTCACACCATCTACGTGCCGAAAGAGTGATAAAAGTAATTTTAATAAAAGTAATAGAAAACGATTATTTATTTTGGAGGAAAAAAACTGAGATTAAATCTGAGCTACTCAACGCACATTACATCTATATTTATATATAATCGACATTTAACCGTTTGACCAAGAGTTTAACATACATCGATTATTATAAATATCTTTGAAAGTTTTTCTCAATTCATTCGGGAAACGTTAAAGATAACAGACCCATATTAATTCATCCTATTCAATAGAAATAATTTGATTGATTATTATTAAATTTTAAATCAATAAACGTTTTTATTTCTACATAGGGTAGTGAAAAAGTTCTGCAAACAGCGGTCTAAAATTTCATCCTAATTGGTTTTATTCCTCATGGTGGTCTAGTCTGGTAGTGATATCTCTTATGTATTAAAATATCAATATGAAGTTTCACAAGTGTCTATTATGGAAAATTTTCAACGAATTTTTTGAAGACCTCTGTTTTTAGATGGAAAAACAGCACATACGCTCATATATAAAAACTCGTTGCTTATTTAGGTTTAACAGCTACACAAATTCATAATGAATTAACTACTGCTTATGGACAAGGCTTAGTTTCATATTGTACAGTTACTCGATGAATTCAACGATTTTCAAATGAGCAAGAATCTTTGGAAGATAATCCTTGAAGTGGTCGTCCAATAACCACTATCACTCAACAAAATATTAATGCTATTAAGAATCTGGTGAACGATGATCTACATATTAGTATGGATTATGTTACTACCATCTTAGACATAGTTATTATATAAACTATCGTGATGAGTACTTGAAGATTTTAGTCAAAAATTTACATAAGAAAAAATCATCGTCAAAAACAAGTATCACAAATTTGCATCATAAAAATGGAAAATCACATATGTAAGATATTGTTCTCAATCTTAATTATTTTCAAGAGGAGAAAATCAAAGTTATCGTTCATCCACCATACTCACCCGACCTTGCTCCTTCAGACTTTTGGTTATTCAATTGCCTGAAACGTAATCTTGATACATATCCAGATGCTACAAGTTTACCTACGGCAATAAACAAGGAGCTTAATTCAATACCTATTCACGAATACGAAAAGACATTTCAGAAATGGATTGAAACGGATGAAACTTTCTATTGAACATCATGGGGACCACTTCGAACATTTACTGTAAAAAGTTTAGCAAAATATTTTCTCTATGAATAAATATTGGAAAGTTGCAGAACTTTTTCACTACCCTATCTATTTCA